CTGCACACCATACTCAAGTGTGCCTGGAGTTGCAGAGGGTCGGTTTTCAGGTAGGAGGAAGTCCAGAGCTGATCTAGGCTTCCATCCCAAGTGCAACTGATTAGGACTAACGTCGGTACTGCTGTGTACAGGGTTGTTGTACAGGCTGGCGATGAGAGGCAACTTCTCATCCCAATCATCCTGACTGGGCTTGATGTAATGCCTCAGCAGGTGTTGTACAACTCTGTTCATTTGCTCGGCCTGTCCATTGGCTTCGGGATGATTCCGTGAAGTCATCTGAAGTTGATTGCCCATCTGTTCAGCAGTCTTTTTCCACAGCTCACTTGTGAAGCGGACATCTTTGTCACTAACGATTGACTTTGGTAGTCCAAAGTCACGCACCCAGTTGTCCATAAACAACTTGATGACGTGGTCAGTCCTTGCGGTCTCTGGCATGGCAATTAGTCTAGCATATTTGGTGAATCGATCAATGATGACAAAGATGTGCCTCTTGCCACTCCTATTGGTCACCAGGGTGTCCATGAAATCCATGGAAACACTCTGTCCTGGACCAGCGGGGATAGGTAAGGGCTTCAGCAACCCAAGCGGTGCTCGAGTTCGCGGCTTGTCCCGCTGACAGACCTGACAGGTCTCTACATACTTCTTTGCGTCATCTAGCATTCCAGGCCACCAAAATCGTTGTACTAGATTGGCACTCGTCTTTTTGTAGCCAAAGTGTCCGGTTGCGTCATGACATTCTCCTAAGAATAAACTACGCAAACGTTCACTAGATGGAACAACTAACCTTTTACATCCAGCCTTATCAAGAAAGAGAAGCCTGTCCACCGTCACAAACTAATTTTCTGTGGCCTTGTCTTTTACCTGAAGTTTGCGTATGATGTCCATCATGACAGGGTCTTCCTGATAGGCTCCCACCAGCGATTGAGTTAGTTCCTCAAATACACCAAAGTCAGAAACTAGCGCCCCTAGGTAGTCTGCTCTACGTGACAGTGCATCTGCAACCTTGTTGTACTCTCCCTTCAGATACTCTAGCTTGAAGTCATACTGATCTATGACCTCAATCCAATGCTTGAGTGCATCCGAAAGAGCCGGTTGAGTCTTGATCCATTTGAGGGTTTGATGGTCAGTTCTGAAGTAGATAAACCGTCCCAACAGGAAGTGTCTCCAACAGACAAGTGCTTTGTAGAGAGCATAGAGTTCCCTTTCATAGGTGGACTTTGCCAGTTTCTTAGATGACATCTTTTTGCTCATATACTCAATCGGTCTCAACTTCTTCCCATCCTGTTGAGCCAGCACTGCGCCAATGCCGTATTGGCTTGCGTCAGTGGTTACAATGAATGGCTTCTGAGGATCGGGCACCATAAGAACCTCATGATTCATGAGTGCATGCTTCAATCGTTTGAAAGCAGCCTCGCACTCATCACTCCAGTCCCACGGCGTGTCAAGTCGAGTTAGATCAGTCAAAGGAGAGGCGACTGTGGAATAGTTCTTTATGAAGTTTCTATAGTAGTCGCACATTCCTAAGAAAGATCTGACCTCAGTAACAGTCTGAGGTCGTGGCCAGTCCCTTATACTAGCCACTTTCGCATATTCCGACCTAATACCTTCCGCGGATACTTCATGACCCAAGTATAAGATCTTAGTGCGTCCAAATTCACATTTCTCTAGGTTGACCTTATACTTGTGCTGTCGCAGGAGTGAGAGTATAGTCTCGACGTGCTGTGCATGCTCCTCGACAGACTTACTAAAGATAAGAATATCGTCAAGGTAGACGACGACAAACTTATCTAAGTGGTCATGGAAGATCCTATTCATGGCATGCTGGAATGTACCGGGCGCATTGCAAAGGCCAAAGGGCATCACTACAAACTCATACAGACCATATCTGGTCTGAAAAGCAGTCTTGTGCTGATCCTTAGGTCTTATTGCGATTTGATGGTAGCCGGATTTTAAGTCTATCTTACTATAGTACTTACATCCCTGCATCCTATCCAATAGGTCGTCTATGCGAGGTAGAGGCTCTGCGTTTTTCACTGTGATGGCATTGAGGCCTCTATAATCAATGCACATCCTCAAGGTACCCCCCTTCTTGGGGACGAATAGCAGTGGAGATCCGTAGGGGGAAGTACTCGGCCGGATCCATCCCTTCTCTGTCAACTCTTTCAGTTGTCGCCGAAGTTCTTCCAACTCGGCCGGAGCCATCCTATAGATCCTTCCCTTTGGGGTTTTACTCCCTGGAATGATTTCTATGGCGTGGACAACCTCCCTATCAACGACTCCTGTGGGCTCCGTGAACAGATCAGGGAACTTAGCAACGACGTGTTCTATCTCTGGGGGTGTTTTAACGGCCGCCCCCTTCTCAGAGACATACACTAGGTACATACCTTCCTCTTGGTTCTGTTTATAGTAATTACAGAACGCTGATGCACACAAGCAGCCATAGGTATCGATTATACAACTGGCTTTAAACTTAGTCAGCCTCACTATTCTTCCATCAGGCAACTTATGCTTTAGCACCTTCTTGTCCCAGTCAAACTGGGGCTTAGCAACCTCAAGGTAGTACATCCCTAATAACATATCGAATGGTAGGTCGTCGCTAATCAGGAACGAAATCTTATGATTAAGTTCCCCTCCTCCATAGGAGAAGGTACAGACTACGTCCTTGATATAGTCCGTGACAACCATCCGCTCCTTATTGGCCAAAGTAGATGCTACAGGTCTACTAAGGTGTTGTACCCGGTCCTATAGGTGCAGCCTTTCCAAACAGTCGCGACTTATGTAATTCCGCGTGGAGCCGATGTCTATGAAGGCACGACATTTGCAGCCTCCTACATCAACTTCCACAACGAAATGTTCCCCTCTAGGACCTTTCCTTAGTGCCACCCAAGATTCGCGAGGGTCCTTGCTTGACCACTCACTTTCCAAATCTTCTAAGGCTTCAGACACATCCAACGTACAGAGCATAGTTTGGTCTGGATGAGTCTGCAGGGTGACTAAAGAGTCATTAGCTATGGCCATCTCATGAACTGGGGAGGGTATCTGGCCCACTTCACCATGAGTAGAAGCAGCTAAAACTTCCACCGGCCTCACGTGTTTCCCGAGCTAGAAGCCTGGGAAGAAGGTACCCCTATCTTAGGAGGTATCTTCTGCGTGACCTTTGCGTTCTTGCACTTGTACTTGGTGTGTCCGTATTCACGACAGTTGATGCAAGCACCACGTACTCGGCGGTCCCGCCACACTTCTTGATCAAGACCTGCCTTGACCCAATCAGCAACTTTGGTCTGGTTGGAGGCAGCCTGCCCTTGACTCTTTTGATGGCCCTTCCCTCGGCCACCAGCCTTTGTCTTAACTACTGCGGCAAGGGTGCTACCCTCAGCGATTTCCTCGTCGTCGTACTCTGAACTGTCCAATAGGTCTGTGAGCTCTTCGATCTCAGTTTGAGTCCCATCGGACTCAACCATCATCAACTTGCTCCCCTTCTTCTTCCATTCCTGTTGACCCTTCTTCTTCCTCGCGTCAACGTTGAGCACTTCCTAGAGTAGCCTCTAAGTCTAAGGCTTTTCAAGATAAGGTCTCAAACGAATGATACTCGAGGCGAGCCTCATTGGCCAGCAAATTTCTGAGATTCTCTGGGAGACATCTCACAAACATGGTCAACAAGACTTGGTCATCGTAGCGTATGCCGGGAACGACAATGAGGCTCTCTACGGTAGTCGTAAGCTCTCTGACTGACTTGAACTTTCGTTGGTCTAGTCTGCGCATCGCATCAGTGGCTATTTGTGCCTGCTGTGGATTATGCCAGAGAGCTTCTACCATGTCTAAGAATTCCTCTAACATTAGGGTCTTAGCCCAGTCTGCCATGCGTCGTCCGTACCCGGCCTTTGCTACTAATCCATCTAGCCATTTGGCTGCCTTACCCTCCAGGTAAGATGCAGGAGTTATCACCTCCTCCTCATGCATAGTCCTCTTTGCCCTTACCCACACCGGAACCGTTCTCAACCATGTGTTGAGTTCCTCGTCCTTCTTCTCTCCCGAGAAGGCAAGGGGCGGTTTCATAGGGGTCTTTGGGTACCATTGACCTTGCTGCTATCCCTGTTGAGGAACAGGTTGTTGCGGTGATGGTGTAGCTACCACCGCTGACCCAGAAGAAGAAGAAGCAACAGTCTGTGCGGCTGCTGCAGACGTACCACTTGGTTGTGTGTCAGCTTGTACCGGAAAGGGGCCTGACATCGCCGTTAACTGCAACGGCGACTGTGCTGCTGGCCGAAATCTTGGCCTTTGCAGAAGGTCCAAGATCTGGTCCAAAGAGTTCTGCATGAAATCCAGTCTGCTGTCCACATGCGCATGCAGCGACAGCACACTGTTCTTCAATACTTTCATTTGGTCAGACATGGCTGACACATCCAAACCCTCTAATGCAGCTTTGTCTGCCTCTAACATATCAAGCCTGGCTGTTCTATTTTTAATCTCTCTTTCTCTGTCGGTCGCTTGCTTCAGTTCCCTCTCTAACCGCTGGCGGATCCTTTCGACCTGTTGGAGCTCTAGAAGCTCCCTGCCGCGTGGGGTCAACGGGCTTAACTGCGAGCCCGCCATTTGACTTGTGGACTGACTAGAACCTACTGACCCGGAAGTACCCGCGGGGCCCTGAGGGCATTCCCAACAGGGTCCCTGACGAGGATGCAGCAGAGGCTGCGCCGTTAGCCATTGCTGCTGCTCTGGCTGCTGCTGCCTGTTCTCTAGCTGCTAGGTTTGCTGCTGCCCTCGCTGCTGCAAGAGCACGGGCTCTACGTTCGGCACGAAGCCGTGCTTCGTCTCCCGGTTGTAGGGTCTGGAACACGTGGGGGACCCTCAGTGATCTCGAACGTGTCAGTCTCACATTGTCAACTCTACCCTCATCGGTGTTTGACCCGCTCATCAGTTAGGCAAACACTATCTGCACTACAACTCCCTGCTGGAGTCCTACTACAGCATGTGTCAGTCCGGCAGTTCCCCTACTTGACCGATCAAGTGGCAGCCTACAACATTCACAAAAGACTGTCAACATAGTTTACTTCTATCATTATTAGTTCACTTACAGAAGCTTTGCACAAAACTGGCTATGGTAGTATACAACAGTCCTATACTAAACTGTCTGTGAGGTGTTAGCAGTCTGTCAACCAACTAATCAACAATAAAACCAAACTATGTTGCAGATGTATGAACAGTGGTTATAGTTGTGTTTACAGTTGAGCACCAATTAGAACCTACCCTCCCCTCAATCCAACATACCGAAGAGCATCTTTGACCAGCAGTGTCTTCGTGTGTATTGTTGGCCCACCCCTGTGCCGCAAGTCATTGCCGAGCAAGCCAGCCCATCCACTCTTATTTACCCTCGTACGGAACGAGCCTTACTACCCGGTTTGATCTGGCTGATCAGGAGGGATTTAAGGAGAGCCCCCATCTCCTCAGGAATTATTTAACGTCGCAGACAGGACGACGATCACAGCCAGTATCAACTGAGTCCCCAACCAGAAGTATTTATAGACGGTCTGGTGAGCGTCTCTTATGGGCTGGCACACCCGGCACGACTTCCACAGCGCAGCAAAGTGCCAAAATGGACAAGCAGCCATTGCATGCGTGACCTACTTGTCGTCTATCAAGGTAGCGCGCACACGACACCTCACCAAAAGAGAGGACTCTCAAGTTGGACTCACTTCCTCGCGGTAAGAAGAGATTGAGAGAGTAGATAAGGTAAGGGAACAACGTACCTGGAGATAGCTGCCCCCAACCACAGATTTCTCACCAATTGAGCTGAGTGTGCATTTGATGACCGGTCATAGCCTCGGTACCACCCACAACGCAATGCAGTGCCACCTCAGCTTAATGCCACCTCAGCATGCTCTCATCACCAATCATACATTCCGCAGTAACCACGGCAACCCATGTTGTATAGCCTTCCGGCACACACCTCTCTACCCAGGTTGTGCGCCTATTGTTGGCCTGATGTCACAAGAACCAACTGCGAAGAAGCACAGAAATCCAGATTGCAAAATCACACTGAAGTCCAAGTAGTCAAAGCAAGAGCAGATAGCACAATGGAACCGAGTAACCATCCATTTGAGAACGATACAGAAGAATCGTGAGTCGATGTCCAAGCCTAATCGGGAAACACCAACAGCATAACCCAATGTAGCTCTCTCTCTTGAATGGCGCCTGGCGCCCTATCTACTCTACAGCCTAATACTACAACTACAGCATGAAAGCAACCAGACAACTTGACGACCAGCGAGTGATGACGTCAACACCAATGCCGACCTCACTCTCCACCAGGTACGTCTCTCTCTTCAACCTCACTCTCCCTTGTTATCCCACACAGCGCCCTTCACCTCCATAGAACCACCTTCGCCCTTCACCTCCTCTGCGCCCACAGGCAGCCCGACTATGGCCGCCAGCGCTCTGCGCCCAGGCTGCACTCTACCGCTTAGCGCTAGCCTGCCTCTCTCAGCCACAGCGCAAGTGCAGCGCTACCATGCAGCAGCGTGCCCGCAATGCCTGCATTGGCCAAGATCCCTGGCCACTCGCCCTCCCTGCCTATATGCCAGTGTTGCGTGTGGGCGGCCTCCGTTGAGCCTGCGCCTGGGCCCCAGTACCTGTACCCAGGCCCAATGTGGTTGGGGCCCAGGAGATGCAGTTGCGCCTCTTTCACCAAGGCCTGCGGCCAGATTCAGATAGTGGACTGGTTTCCCATTGGCATTTTCGGCCTCTATATCCAGCATGCATTGTCAGCCTCACGTTTATGTGCCCAGGGCCTAACCAACTCTGGGGCCCTGGGATTTCTGCATTTGCAGAGCTCCGATACTCGGTGCACTCTATCCAACTGGCGTGCTGCAACTGTATGGACCCCACTTCGTGAAATGTTTGCACAGAGGGCTCTTTGTTGATTTGCTGGCCCGCCTTCACTTAGGGCGGGCACGAGGCTTTCTGGGGCCTTAGCCCAGAACACCTACATCATGGCAAGGCCCCTTCTTGAGGGCTCAATCCTCACAAATTTCCGAAACTCAGATTAACGGTCAATATTGAAATGGTCGTTGCCCCCAGACTGCGTGAAAAACAGGATGCTGGGGGGGTTCCAAAAGTTCGAAAAAAAGATGAATTTCAGAAAAAAATTCGGAATTTTGGGATAACGGGAATTTTGTAATGGAAATAAATAAAAAATTACGAAATTTCCAATTTCGGAAAAGCTTTCAAAAAAAACTTCGAAATGACGAATTCAGAAAAAAAAACTTGCGGAATTTTTTGAAATAACGGAAAATTACAGTATTTCGGATCTCCAGCAGCAAAATTTCGAGTTTAAAAAAAAAGGTGAAAAACGAGAATTTCAGATGCTTTGCTATTGCGATTTTCCTCCAAAAAAATAGCGGGAAAATGCAATCAAAAGGAGAAAAAAAAAAAATTGGATTTCGGCAGTTAGGTCAGAATCTGCGATTTGGGGGACTAATTAGTGTGACCTAATCAATCAATCAATCAATCAATCAATACTTACCCAATCAATCTTGGGTTGTCCCCGCGCTTGTGTCAGATCAGGTTGTCCTGATTCACAAGCGTGGCTCCGATACCAAAACTGACGCATGCCCGATGGGACAATGCGCAGGGAGCCAAGGATCCGCTATGTGATGAAAAGGACTGAAATGGACAATGCAAGGTCAGCGTAGCATCAACGCGCAATGTACATTTCGAATACATACAAGATGGCACAAAATGGCACAGCGGAAGACTTAAAGAGAAGATCTGATCTGATCTGGATTGACCCGACATCCATCACACGTCACACATGTGAGAGAGGGAGGATGGACCGCAATCATGGAAGAAAGGTCCCTCCTTCGCACACATACATGGGGAGATACCACGGATGAGAGATGGGGGAGGGACGAGACGAAGAGGAAGGAGGCGAGGGAGTAGACCAAGATCGTTACAGCGAAGTCCCAAAAAAATAGTCCCTTGCCGAGTATCCAATCAATGTCTGTCCCAGAAATGTCGAATCAGATCCTGGGCAGTGCGCCCAGCATAACCTCTGCCTGAATCCCTACTGATAACCTCTCACACTCTCAGATTTGAAGAAGAAGATGAGAAAGAGGAGGAAGGCGGGAGAAGGAGGAGCGAAGAAGAAATTGAGAAAGAGGAGGAAGGAGGGAGAAGGAGGAGAGAGAGAGAGAGAGAGAGAGAGAGAGAGAGAGAGAGAAGAAGATGAAGTCCTCCTCGCTATCTCACCTGCAGGTCGCTGCCACCGCACTGACTGTGTCCGTCGTCGTGTGCAGGTACCGCGTGGAGCCCAGCTATGGCGCCAGGTAAGCTCACCGACTGCAGGTATGGCCTCCGCCACTCCCTATCTCCTCTATGTCTCTACTCTCTACTCCGCAGCCTAGTGCAGCATAGCGCTCTCCTAACCAGCAGCGTGTCGCCCAGAAGTGAGCTACTCGAACTGTCCCCTGCCCAGCCGTGGCCCAGCTATTTGTAGCGCTGGGCGGCTGGGCCTACCTGGTGCTGGCCCTCAGAAAACGGCCCAGGTGGTCTGGGTCCCTACCAGACATCCAGACCCTGCTGCTGATGCAGCATGGCGCAGAAATGCGCCTGGCCTAAAAACGGCGTCCTACCGGTGCACCTGGCCCAAGGTGTCGTCTTGGGTCCTGCAGGGCCGAAACGACGCCTGTACCAACCGGTTTGGCGCCAAAATGCGCCTGGCCTCGTTTCGGGCCTTCCTCCTGTGTACCCAGTCCCAAGGTCCGGCCTTGGGGCTGCCAGTCCGAAACGGCACCTGAACAGACAAAAATAAGACAGCACACACACCAGGGTTGTCGACCCCCGGCCCCGGGACCCCGCCGGGGTTTCGGGGTTCCGGGGGTCGGCACCCGGGACCCCGG